TTTTTTTTTTTTGGGACGAAATCTATAAAAGAAATTTAATTTGGGTAAAAATGAAAATTTTGATTTAATTTTTTAACGTTAATTTCTAAAGAATTTTTTATATTTTGAAAAAAAAAAAAGGGGCTTTTGTAAGGATCCAAAGCCTTGGTTGAAGCCCTCCTTGTACATTTTTTACAAGTTACAACAAGCAATTAAGTTAGGCCGTGTCAGGATCTCCCCCTTCATCCGCTGCTGTGCCTCTTTCAGCTACAGGGTTGTTGTTGCAGGGGTGAAGTTGTGGAGCTGTGAATAAGCTCCTTTGGCTATCCGTATTAGAAGCAAGAGGATTGGCGCAATTTCTGCTCTCCCCCTCTGGTAATGAAGCAGATGCTGCAGACGTCACCGAGGCAGCCTCTACTTCACTGCTTCCACCATGGCTGGCACCCTCTTTTCCACCACCTGAAACCCCTGCAGCCACAACTGTTTTTCAGAAAACCATCAGCATGTGGAAGCATGGAATCATATATAAATGAAAACTTGATTGATTCTTGAAACAGACGCAAAAATGCAGTGGCATTCTCATGCACTACGTCCCTGAGTTAGAAATATTGGTGAAATTAAAAGAATTGAAAGAAAGTAATCACGAGGTGGAGGGACAGGAAAAACCTGTGTTGGTGGTGATGACACTGGTGATGCTTGTATTTTGTGGTGCTAATGGGATTGCAGCTCCTTTTTTCATCCTCAGCTGCGAAAAACAACCACAAAATGACTGATCAACAGAGACGTCTTAATTACACTATACTCAACAATCAACATAAAGATTTTTTTTTTCTTTCTTCCTTGAGCCTATGCTCTGCCATGAAAGAACAGCTTATCCTCTTATCATCTTTTTATGTAAAATTTGAATTCTTGAGAAATATGAAGGCACAAAAGAACCACCGGAAGAAAGGAGAAAAAAGATGACAATCTATCTTAGATGCTTAGTGTGTAATGCCAAAGGAAAAGCAGTTTCTGATTTCTGTCACTCCAACAAAACACCTACTCCAAAGCTTGTTAGGTTGCATACCTTAGCACTGTCTTCACAATACTTTACAACCACTGAGATGTTTGCATAGCGGCCATGCAATAGTGTGTAAGCCCACAACAGAAGCTTCCTTGGAATGCTTAAATCAAGAAGCTCCATCCCTTCTGCACTTGCTAGAGTTTGTGTTTCTGTGGCTGGACGAGATGGAACTAAAGAAAGATTTACACCAGAGGGAAGCATTAAATAGGAGCTCTCTCGATAGAAATTATAACAGCTTCTAAGCAAGGAATTAGCTGTCTCAATATTTTCATCCAAAGCTTTCTTTACAATTACATTCTTGATTCTTGTCAAGATAGGGCTCCATTTTGTTTGAAGATTTTCTAGATGATTTGAGTCCTCAAATGATGACTTCCATATCTCTTGTGTCTGCAGATCAATACAAAGTACTTGGCTGCTTTCCATAACACCATCTATCTCACATGGTAATCCAGATTGCAATGGAGTGATCAATGCCAAGCCAATTATAAGAGATCGGCACCATGCAAAAGAAGCATGCCTGCAAACTTTGGCACAATTACCACTTGACAACTTTGGATTCTTGAAACGCTTTCGGATCTTCTCATTTATTGCTTCAAGTGTTTCCAGCTTGGCATTTTTTTCCAGAGACACAATATAATGGTGGAGATACCTGTATCAAAGCAACATATAGCACATGCAACCAGTTGATTTAGAAAGTTTAATGCAGTTACGGTCAATATATATGACAAGCAGGACTACTAATTGCCTCCATAAAACTGATGGGCTACCAGTAGAGCAATTTTTAAACGGAAATTCTTGGGAATTAGGCAGAAGGAAAGATCATGCTAGTTTGTTTTCCTGTCATTATTGTGGATTGAGGAGTCATAGGAAATAAAAATGCTTAGCTGCCTTGAATGGAGAGAATCTCCTCAGAAAATTCACCTCTCACTAAATTTGACATGTTGAGATTGCACATAGTTCATGATCTCTTTCTTAAATAATAAACTCAAAGAACAGATATTTACCCATATAAGCTGCTCTCAGATATTTCTGGGCTCTTCATCTCAGGCAAACTACAGATTTCAGGCCACATGTTCCCCTGTTCCATGAATAAGGCAAATATCTTCTCTAGTTGATGCTCAAGACTGCTTGCAGCATTGCAGCCAGCAATCTCAGCTTGGTTCATGGATAATACTAGAGCTTTGATGTGCCTTACAAGTGCCACTGGTACAAGATCTTCAATGCACAAAGAGAACTGGAATCACAACTGTTATTAGACTCTGCTTGATTGGTGGTGGAAAATAATATCAGCTAAAGTACACCATTAACCTCCCAAGTAGTTACACCAAGTTAATCCAAATGAAAGCATTGCATAAAATAGTTATCTTATATGGAATGGAACCGGGCAATGGTAGGAAATGATTTCAATGAAAATAAATTTAGCATAACAATGTCAACTACCAGTTCTTGTCAATCATGAATGCATTCTTCAATACTGCAAAGCATTATGTAATGTTCCATGCCAAATACAAGAGACTAAGAAAATTTCTAAAAGTTAGATTTGCTACCCTCTTATCTGCCCGAAGAGAAGTATAAGCACGATCTAGGATAGAGATGTCTCTAGTCTCTTCCAACAACTTCAAATAAAATAGCAGGTACTTCCTGATGCAAGTTATAAATTTTCGAGAACTCTCTGGTAAGTTAACTTCAAGTGCTTTCTTGTTCCCTGCTAAACCTGGTGTCCTTCGCCTGATACAAACAATAAATGAAGTAATGAATTAGAAGTATTTTTTGGCAGCTTAAATAATATGTTACTCCCCTAAAAAGTTGGGCAAACTTTGAAATTGAACCAGAAAATCAGTTGGTTGAGTCTATTTTAGTCAAAAGTTTACAGTAGTACTCTTTTAGAAAAAAAACACTTTTGCAGATGACATTATCCTTTATGTTATGACGACAAGGCTGCTTTACTTCAGCTTATCACAGCACATTGCAACTCAGAGATACCAAAAATATTAATTGGTCAAAATATGAAATGCAGGATTGTGGCCATACCTTCCTTTCTTTACCATGCCATCAATCTCCCACATATTTATTGTAAAGCAAGAGCGAGATGATTTGAAACAAAATGAAAGTTCATCCTTTGCCCTTTGAACATCACCCATCTCACCCCTTTTGTACAGCCCTTGAGAGAGCATAAACCTGGCCTTGTGAAAATGTTTAAGATCCCCTCCTATACAAATTTCCAGTGCAGAAACACAATCATTATAAAGCATGTTCCAGACCTCCATTCCCACTGATTCATCATAATTTTTCTCCTCCATATTTTGACAGCTTTTATCCTTTTCATCTTCTTGCAAAAGCTGAGTTCCAGGAGTCATTTTCCTAATGAGTTCCATTGCCCTATCCTTTACAGATTGATCATAAGAATATGCTGAAAGAACCTGGAGTCCAGAGGCAATGAGAATGCTTAGAATGAAAATGCAGACATTTGGTAAACTAGAAAACTTGTAACACAAAGTCCAGAAACCAGAAGATGGTAATTCATCAAGAAAAAACCAAAAGATGGTAAATTATCAACATAAAAGTAAAACCAGAAGATGGTAAATTACCAATGTGAAAGTACCTTTAAAACCTTAACACTGTTTCTTCCATGTGTCCAGAGTAACTTCAGGCGTGAAGCATGCATTCTGTAGAAAGGATCAACAGCTGATGAATTTAAAGCAATGGCCTTATCATAATATGATAAAGATATCTCATGGGAGTAACCAAGCTTTTCAGAGAGTTTCCCAATATAGAAAGCATGTGACCAATCTTGCCTGCATTAAAAAGGGTATTAGCCAAGCTTATACCTCTTAAAGATTAAACAAGAAAGAAATAAGGGAGAGTATAAAGCATTTTGAGAAGATCCCAAATACTTGTGTGTGAAGGCCTTTTTGAAATGCTTCAACGAGTTCTCACAGAACATCATCCAAGCTGCATCCTTTGAGGGCAAAATAGATCGCTGATCATAAAATGGGACAACATTCTGAAGGCTGTCATAGTACACCAATGCTAGCAACTCGTGTATCTCGCACTACAATGTACAAAAGAGAATAGTTAACCCAAAAAATTCAAGGAAAAAACAAATCTTGATTCCATAGCATATCCTCAAATTGTCTGCATAGAACAATGCACCAAAATACAGTAAAGATATACAGCAAAACATTGGTAGGACTTTAGGAGGCATTCAGCAGCATACATGGTTTTCTTACTATCAATACTTCAAAAGATCTAACTAGATGAAGTTAAAGTATATATAAGACAACCATCTAAAATAATCTAATTAATTCTTGAATACATCTATGATCCTAATACCACAGTGCATATGCTCTAGGTTGAACCTGCCATAAGTACCTTCTTCCAACCAACTCATCCTAAAAAGTAGGTTCTATAAAGATCTGAGAGTCAACATATACCAGTGTAAAAGGATGTGGATAGCACAGTTGTCAAAGAATCATTAGAAAATTCCAAACACATTTTCTCTTTCACATAAATCAGAGTCAAAGATATTTGGAACCTGCTGATCTGATGTCTTTGCCAAAGCTAAACTCATCAAGAGACAACGTCTGCTCCTCCGTCTACTTATCTCAACTCTCCGAGGCATAGCTTCATTTTTTCTCCATCCTGCTACATTTATGTGCTTGCTTCCATCATTCAGCAACAAGTCTACCTCCTGTCCTAAGTGGAACAAAAGCAAAGTTTATTTTAATACAAGAGAAATCTTAACATTGGCGGGAAACTTTTAAAATGGAAAATCAAAAATTAAGGTTGCATGAACTCAAATCTTAAGGAAGCAATTCTCGCCTCATCATAAATATTGGCAAGACGTTGCCAACTCTCGAAGCGTAAAGGATTATAGAGTAGGTCATATTTGAAGAGTTTTGCATTTTGCTGCACAAATTCTTCCCCTTCCTTGGTCAGTACAAAGCCAGGCCATTTATCAGTGGCATTCATCTCCTCAGACTGTGCCAGGAAATAATACAAATTGCAATAGACCTCCAAATATGGCTCAGAGCTGCAAACAATTAATTAGAAATTAAAAAAGAAACTCATTACTAAAGTAGTACCAACAAAAAAATAACATTAAAAAAACCATATAACATACAAATCAATCAAACAAACAAATATATACCTCTTAAATGATGATGCCTTGTATTGTTTGAGGCTTCCTCCATTACGAAGTAGTATCTTTGTTAAGCTCTCAAGATACCCCTCAGATCCAGCCTTCTCAGACAGCTCATCTTCACATATATCAGGATCATCTAAATACTTATCTATTACATTTCCAGCCAAAACATCTTCTGGTGGTTGGGGGAAGTGTTTGCGTATGGCTCTTAGTACTCTACGAAGTTTGATCAATCCAGTTCTCTAAAATGTACGATAATGTTATTCAGAAACATTCAACAAAGAAAAAGGAGGAAAAAAAACTGGTTGTTATATGAGCATGGATGAATTGGCACATGTATCTTGACATGTGAGAGAAACACTACTTACAGAAGAAGCCTTGGCAGAAGGCAGTATGTACTGAAAGACATCTGCACATTGTTCCTTGGTCTGGTAATCACCCCGACTAGTATTCTTGTGCACAGCCAGATCATCCTCATAAGATGAATCAGATCTAAGGTTCAGACCATATAAGCAGAAAAAGCACTGATCCAAAGCATTATCAATCATTTCTTCAAGCTCCTCTTTTTCATCTTCTGTAAGTGCATTTGCACACTCCTGATCCCCACCTTGTTCTCCCATGTCTAGTTTGTGATCACCAACATATTGTCTTTGAATGTTTTCATGCACTGCTTCATCCTTTTTATTTGGGTCTGAAGAAGATGGTGCATTTGGAGAAGTAATTCTTTCAAAATCATCTTTCTTCACAGCAGAGGTATCAGCATTTTCAGCTTCATTCATCTCCACATCTTCCTTTTCAGATTTTATTTCATTTCCAGATGTATTAATGCCACCATCATGATGAAGCAGCTCAGCATATGAAATTATCTCCCCATCTGAGGGGTTAAAATTGGATTTTAGCTTCATGTCTAAGGCCAATAGATGCTTTATTGCAAATCTAAGAAATGCTCCTTCCTCTCCACCAGCCTCACCCGCACAACAAAGCCCATATTCAGCAAGCAAGTCATGGGCTGCCACAATTAATTCAACCTAAGCCAAGAATTAGAAAAGAATTTAAAGATGAGAAAAAGAATAGACAATGACTTAAATCTTTGGTTGTTAACAAAGATAAATGTAACACTCACCTGAGTTTTAAAAGGTACAGAAGGGTTGAGGTGTTGAAGCTTGCAGAATGCTATGGCTGCGTCAATGAAGCAGCTACTTTGCTTTTGTTCAGGATTATCAGCAACTGCCAGACCACAAGATTTATTACTGAGGATATTCCTTGCAATATTATACATGACTGCCAGCAGCAAAGACTGTATATCACTGATGATGCTGATTGGAATCATGTCATTCTGCAGGCATAGTTAATGTGAACCAAGTCAAGATGCATATGAAGAAACTTCTATTTAAAAAGTGAAAGATTCTTATGCAAACTAAATAGTCATAACAGGAGGGAATTATTTTTCAAATTACAAAAATGATAGGATTTCATTAGTAATCCACATAGCATGCAAATATAGAACCATACAGTCATCAATCTTATTCATAATGCCTCATAAAATATGATCGACAGCAAACTAATTTAATGAAATATAATACTTTTTGTGAAGATTACTATGACAAACGGTATTATTCTAAAGAACAAATGACTTACGGAACCTCCAGATTGGTCAATGAAGTTCTTCACTTGTGCCACACATTGTGAAATTGACTTCACTTCCTCTGAAACCAAGCAATTCCAGTTCTCACTTGAATTTTCTTGTGGCACAGTAGAAGAAGCAGAAAGGATTTCTGACAGTGATTTCTGATGTAAGGCTTTACAGAACACAAGGTGGTCCATACCAGCTAATAGCAGTAGCATTTGAAGCTTTCTTCTGTGAGAATTCAGATATGATTCAATGTCCAACGGCTTTGCCTTCTCGCACGCTTTGATTAATATGTCTAGTGCTGAGAGTTCAACAGATATAATCCCTTCATCCTTTTTGTCAGCAGCGGATAACAGCAATGCATCTTTGGTTGAGAAAAGAAGGGGAGCAAGCAGAGTTACACATTCCATATACATTTCTTTCTCAACCATCTCACCCAGAGTCTTCTCCAGCAAGAAACCAACTTTCAATAAATTTATTTCATGGAGAATCCTATCAGTAGTTAACTCTTTAGTAATTTTACAATGTGGCAGCTGCACCAAAGCTAGAGAATCATCTGGTTTTTCCTTCTTTGCCAGAAGTGATAGGGAAATACAGAATTCTTCAAGTGCTTTTGCTTTGTTGCCATCCAAAACAGACAATTGACCACTCAACCAAAAGTACCGAGTCCAGAAGGAATCTTTATTGGATATAGGTGAATTGTCTAACAAAGTATCTTGGCAAATAGAATCATCAGGTGATATTCCATGGGTGCCTGGCAATCCCTTAACTGGAGAGAAATTTTCTTTCCCCAACGAAGAAGTCAAGTTAAAAGGATAATCTAAAGCTACAGATTCAATTACTTTACAAAGATGATAGGATGACTCTGATAAGAATTCAGACACATTGGTTGAATTGGAAGGAGAAGATCCAAGGTCAAAGTACAGCTCTGCAAGAAAAAGACTACATTCAGGAGTCCTATCCTTGCCCCAGTATCTTGTTAGCTTCTCTAACTCAAGGAGTTTGAGAAATGCATCTGAAAGGGCAAGGCTTCTTTTTGCAGCATGTTCCAAAAGCAAGTGACCCAAATGATAAGCACCACAGTTTTTTGAAGTATCTCTCACAAAATCAGCAACATCTTTGCATTCAACATCAGATGCACTAGCCTGATTGATACATGAGGAAGAACAACCAGCTATGTAATTAGAATCTTTAATTTCAGGACCACTAATGATAAAAGATTCAAGAAGCTGAGGCACTATTTTTGCCAAATCTTTGGTGGTAGCAAAATCTAACTCTTCTTTCCCTGGTTTCCGACTCCTAAGGCTCTCAAGACGAGTACTCCGCCTCTCCTGTGGCTGCTCTTCAAAAAAGTTTGGTTGTTTTTCTTTAATGAAGTTAGACCTTTCACTATCACTATCACCAGGAGGCATAGCTTTGCCACCTGAAGCTAAATTAGGCCCTTTGTTTTCCAGAGACCCCATAACAAGATCAGAACTCAAAGGCGAGAATATAGTTAACCTGATATCTCCAGATCTGTATGCTTTTCCAGGCCCCATCTCAGAACCACAACCATTCAGTGGACGTAAAATTTCCAGGAGCAAATCAATGAGAGCCACCCAGGAAACTTCTGCAAGGTGCAACTCTATGTTCTGGTTCGGCCGTTTTAATGCAGTGCCCTCACCTGGACTCTGATCAGGTGCTTTTCTTTTGTCATGGAATTTAAGACGAACATGTTTAGGTTCCAGCTTATCTATACCTCTAGGAGCAAAAGGAATTGGTTCTGACTCTTCAATACATCTTTTTACATGCAAGGCACGAGAATGTGATGGCCAATGTCTTAAAATCAATTCAGCAACTGAAAGGCATGCAACTTCATCACCAATAGCAATGAGAACTTCCAACAGTTTCTCCATGCAATTCCCTTCATACATTATCCTAAACGTTAGCTATTTATGAATCATAAAACCTTACATGGAAAACAACAAAAGACAATGAATTAACATAGTTTGACACAGAGCAAGCGGAGAATTAAACACTCCATAAAATTGAACCACAATGCTCACAATTATTAGGGCTGCACAAGAGTCCCTGCTCAAAAGCCCAACGAGAAATACTTAGTGTACCCATTGAGCATGATAGTGTTCCTAGCTGGTTCCAGACAACTGAATCTTTTGTATCTATCTCTACAGCTTGAAGATAACAGTGCAGAGCACCCTCATAATGACTAGAGCCTTGTTGAAGAAAAACAGTGGCAAGGTTCTTTAACGCCAAAAATCTGCAGAAAGCTATAAAATAACATTAACATGTATGTCTCAAAGAACATGTGTGATAAATAAAGTTACTCAATCAACTAAACATATTTATTGACATTATTTTCCTTTAAAGAAGATTAAGTATAAATCATTCCAGACTATGCTATTCCAAGTATATCTTGCAGTAGCAGAGAAGATATGGCATTGTAATTGATGCTTAACTTGAGCTGTAAGAGATGACCATCAGCATCATTACCATCCACCTAAAATACAAAGAAAAACGTCAAAGAGGAACTATTCAATTATTCAAGCACACAATAAGAATGCTTGCAATACAATTTCTTAGCAAGAGAAAAACAACATACCTGAGCTTCTGATATAAGAGGATCTTTCAAGACAGCTTCTAACAGTTCACGAGCCTTTTCATACTCTTTGGCTTCTAACTTCAGCAGCCCATCATGGTAATTTTGTGTAAGATGGAATTCCTGCAATGACCAGCAGAAAACCATTACTGCAAAAAATATATATATAGTTTTCTGGGAAATTTTGCTTCATCGACTTGACACTCCTGGATTTTTTAAATTAAATAAAAAAAGAAGATTAATGGGAATTGCTTCAAATTTAAAGACTCAAAGTGAATTACTTGCATCTCAAAAACCTAATTTTGCTTCAAGAACTCAAATTTTCACAAAACTTATACATGAACGCGTGCGTACATAGAAAAAGAAAGGGAAGAAAAAGGGGCATGCCTGAGCTTCTTTTGTCGGAGCTAAGGGTTCCCATTGCCCTCTAGAATCCGTATCGTTAATGGCTGCGATTGAGAACTGAAACACCAAACAAAGAACAACAAAGAAAACTCAAGATCAAAACCAGGAAAATTCGAATGATTCTACTTTCTAATGCCAGTTACGAAGAGAATCGAAGAAATTAAAGTCATCCAACCATTTTTTACTCCCTCTCTCGGAGGCACTTTGTAGCTTTTCTTCTCTGCTCCGTTCGCTTCTGGTGGCGGGTTTCCGGAAGCGAGTATTTTTGGGAGGTTTTTGTCTGTTTCAGTTTACGCTTTCATTCTTAAAATATAATAGCCGTACTGGAGCATAAAACGACGGCGTTTTCGGGGGACCCAAAATCGGAACCGCCTTAAAAACGGAAATTCCCTGTCTAGGGATTTCCCTCCGAAGGTCGAAGAGCGAGCTCGAAGGTCGCCGATCTGTGCGTCGGATTCCGGTAAAAGCCCAAATTAGCATTGTTTTCACTTGTTTTACTTTGATTCTTTCTAGTAGTGACGATTGCAGTCCAAGTGCAGAGGGAGTTATTCTTTGTTTTCTTAAAGCGTGACTACAAACATTTGGCAGGCATGAAACCTGCAAGAATTTGACGAACTGAATCATGAAATTGAAGATTTTTAGGTTTCTGTTTTTGCTTGATTGTTCTTTTGATGCTATGTTTTTGGCATAACTCACTGGATCACATGAATTTGATTCTCCAGATTCAAGAACTTGAGACAAATTCTGATGCTTTATCTCAAAGGGCATAGTTTATTCCTTGCACTTTGCATTCTTGGCTTCATCATCTCAACTTTCAGCCACGGAAACAAGTCAGTACAAGACTCTTTGTGAGTAAATCGTTTGCCTTTACAGAAGGAGTTACCGTTTGCCTCTTCTGTTTTGCAGGTTTGATGGCAAAGTTTTGAATGTTGGGGAGGAGCTGCAGAAGGAGAGTTTGCCTTTGCAAATGGGTTCTCGCATTTACCAACTGCAAGGGCTCAAACCACATACTTGGTATGAAGTGAAGATATCGTACCCAGCTTCTGTATGTGTAGTCCCTTCTGTGGTGGTCTCATTGTAGCATTCTTGTTTTCAGAACTGATCTTTTCCTCCTTTTAATGATAGATACCTTCCAGTTTTTCCTTGCAACTGAAGAAGGGGAATGCAGACTCGGGGCCAATGATGAACAGAAGATTACTGAACACGGAGAAGTTGATTTTCAAGACTGATAACCTTGACACCACGAATGACCAGGTTTGGGTACATCATTGAGCTTTTGTATGTACTTTAGCACCTTATATTGGAATGGGATACTTAGAAGTTAATTATCTTCTGGTCAGGGTGAATTATATGTTCTTGTGACTGTGGAGCCTGAAGGTGTTGTTGCAATACCAAACGTAAAAGAGAGGGAGTTTGTCATCTTCAATATAGGTAAATTTGTTTCTAGATTTTCATTGAGAAAGCAAAACATTCCTTCATTTTCTCTAGGACCAGTGCTCTTAATTTCACTGAGAAAGCCAAAGATTCCCTCATTTTTCATCAGTGCTGTGTTTTTTGTCTTCCTCTGTTTTTCGTTAGACTAATAGGTTTCATTTTTTTTATAACAGTTTGTGATGAATTACTCCTGGGAATTCCACACAAAGCTTGGTGGGTTGTTCTCTGTGCCTTGATCTGTTTGGGATTAGCATTCAACATCCCACGTTTTCTTCCCTCATTTCTTCTAACTAATCAAAATGTTTCCAAGGATTCTTAAAACCTACACTTGGGTAACGCCAGTGTTTTCGTCAAGAGTCTCCCTCCCCAAAAAGTTGTAATCGTTCAAAACAGACTCTTGAAGCCTGAATTTTGGGTAATTTGATTACCATCACTGCTGCTTCTTTTTATTGGCAATTTTGCTACCGTTTCCTGCTGCCTGTTCTGAACACTGGTTAGTTTGTCTGAACCCCTGTTTTCTTACCTTCTTAAAGAAATTTATGAAATTTTAAAAAAACCTGCTTGATGTAAATTTTGACTAGATGAAGAGAACTTATTAATAATAAACAAAATCCTTCACAAACTTTCTTAACACAAGTTCAATTGTTCATGCTTTCATGCATGCAATTGAATTGACACGGATACAAGACTCAAACACCTGAATAACACGATACAGAACCCACAAACTGACCCTGAACCCGACACACCACTGGCTACGACCACCTCATTCAAGACCCTTGAGTAACCTCCTGAGCCTTTTGTTGGCCATGCTGCCCATATTCCTTGGCCTTCTCCTTCACATCCCGAGCCGTGTTAGAAAGCATAATCTTCGCTCGATCCAGCCGGTCCGACCCTACTGGCTGCTTCCCAGTTGCGTAGTTGTACATCCATGACAATGCTGCAATCCCTGCCACACCTAACCCACCTGAGAACAGGAACCCGGTTGCCACCAGGAACGCAACTATCCCTGCCGGGACGAGAATTGGACCGAACAGGACCAGGAGAGGCGTGGCAATGACGAGTGCTATCACTGTCCCGGTTAAGGTTAACCCGGACAAGAGAAGCAGCCCGCCACCAATTATGGCTGCGGTCATGAACATCACCACCTGGTGAGATAATGGTGCCGAGTCGTAGAGCTGCTGGGTCTTGGGCTTTTCTTGATAATTCGACATAATCGGCGGCTGTACACTAGAGTGAGAAACGAGGGTATATGATACGAGGAGAGGGTAGCACGGCGGCTTTTAAGGAGGTGGAGGGAGAGGTACGTGGCGGCTGTTGAGAATGCGATCAACTCGAGATGTGTGTCGAGAGCAAGGGGTGAGGGTGGCGCGTGTTTGGTTTAGCAAATTTGCATGCGCAAGAGTCAGGCAAGGTTGTGACATGTGTCATGGAATCAGATGGGATGTTTCGGTAATGGATGGCCGCACTCACTGATTCGCCGCTTTGGGTTTTTTTTTTTTTGCCTTTTTTTTATGGATCCTCCTTTGTCGTTTTGATAAAAGGCCGCTTAATGTTGAATTTGCTCATGCACTCATGGATCATAGTCCATGGGCCATGGATAATGCGAGGGACTTAGGACTTAGAATTCATTATAAAGTTTGAGCTTGAGCCCAAATTTTTTTAAAAAGGTCACATAATAAACAAAGCAACCAAAATTTTCCTTTTTAATCCTTAGTTTTTTTTTTTTTTTTTTTACAAAAAAAATACAGTGCTAAGTTAATATCAATATATGTTCAAAGAAAGT